CAGCGCGAAGCAGGGCAGCACAATGGGGAGGGCTTGGACAAAACCCAAAATGTGGTCGCTGCTAGAGTCTCCTATAATCTAGTCTCACACAGACTTTAGATCCTGCCTCTCACTCTTGGGGAGGGGTTTTCATAACTCCTGATGGGTTCCTTACCTGTGCAGAGAGGTAAGGGAGAGTAGAAGGGCTACGGCACAGAGTACATGGAAGGAATGAGATGGACCCTGGGGGCCTGGGAGAGGGTGGGGTCCTCAAAGGAAAGGTGACTGCGTGGATAGGGATGGAAATTTGTGAGACGTGAATCCCCTCAGGAAGTGAGCTGAGAACATGCTGCTCAGACGACAAGATGATGGAAATGGTGATCACTGGACGGTGGCTGCTCCTATCACGCTCAATTGTGACCACCTCCAGGGCACTGTTAGAGAGAAGCACAAACTAAGTGGCCAGAAAGACGGCTCAGTGGGTTAAGGGGCTTGCTGCTAAGCTGAAGAACCTGTGTTCAGTTCCTGGAAACCGCATGATGGAAACAAATGACCAATTATGACATAAGTTCCACATCCATGCCATAGCATGCTCACTTCCACACATGCAGACATACACATAGTAAGTAAGTGTAATTTTCTTTAAAAAAGAAGTATTCGGTAGCAGAAAGGACTGTCTTCTAGAAGGATGCAGACACATCACACGTGAGGAGCAGCCACTGCCTTGGGCCGAGGAAGGTGCTGAGTGAGGAACTGATGTATATAGGTACTCTCCATTGAGCTGTAACGTGGCCCCGGGGGCATCCTTAACATGAAAGAAAATCCCTAGTCTGTGAAAGCTGCGGGAATGTGCTAGGGGTCTTCCTAGAAGGCTGTGAGATTTCTGTAGGGTGAGAGAGCTTCCCTTTGTGTCCGGGGGAGACAACTGACCACGCCGCAGTAACTACAGCAAGACAGAATTGGAAGTGACATATTCTAAAGTTCTAACAAAGCGAAGAGTCTTGACAGTGTGTCCACAGAAATGCAAGGGTAACCTACACTGTTCTCTGAAAAAAGGAGAAAGCATTGCGCACAACTGACCTCAGCAGCGTGTTAGCGCTGGGATTACTTGCTGAGAAGTCAAGAATATCAGAATTCTGTTTGGCTCCACTGAGAACACTTAAGACACCCAATTTGCACTGACAGCCAGTCTCTTTCTGGTCTTTTGAAAAGAGATTTAAGCAAACCAACTTTAAAATTATTGCTGTTTTACATCCATACCACTGTTTAAATTCATCTGCATATCAAGAACTGGAAGACAATCATAATTTGCATGCCCTCAATAGTAATCTTTTGGCTCCAGGCTCCCTCTACTGACTCCAAAATAATAAATAACCATTTTATGGGCACCCTCCTGACCAGCTTCAACCATAGATGAAAGCCTTTGCAAACCCTCTTGTGCAATCACAAAGGACATCCTTACTAAGAGGAGAAGGAAGTTGAACATTTGGGGAAAGGTGAAAATTATAAACTAATTTACAAAGTATTTGTAAAAATAGAACGACATGCCGTCGCCACCAGTTTGTAGCCACAAATGACAAAGTCTTGTGGCTTGACCCAATATTTTAATTTTTAATTGTCAGAGAGAGCAAGGTGTCATGAAGACACAAGAATATACAAATGTGATGGTGGCAGTGGTTGCTGTATTTAGTTTAAAACTCTCTATAAGGAAACTCCCTACATGCAATAATCAATTTACATATATCCTGACTAAAGATAACCACAGGATGTGTTAAGTCAAGTGCCTTACAGGAATGTGTATATGATAATTTTTGTTTAGAAGAACTATGCCCTAAGGTCAGTGTAAAGATACCAAGTGTTTCCCATGAGGAGATAAATGGAAGAAATGCATAACAGCCCTGTGTTTACAAGAGGGGAGCTGGAAATTAAACACCACCCTTAACAATTTAACTGTGAGAGGAGGAAGTGGGGTAATTTGCATAGACTTCAAACAATCTCACACTATTGAGCAAACCAGCAAATCCTGGAAAGAATTAGAGGCGAAAGCCCAAGTCAATATACTTCAAACACCCTTAGTGTTTCCCAGCAACTGGCGAGAAAGCATCTTCTGGGGAAGTTCACACTTTGCACAAAGTAAATATTAAGTCTGCTGTTGGTACCTTTCCAAAAAGTTAATATTTTACAGTTCAGAATTTTAGTTTAAGCCGGCCTCTGAAGCTCCAAGAATGCCTTTTGAAGTTATGTTTTCATAGAGCTAGGAATTTGGTCTGGGAATGAAAGATGTCATCAAAGATTTATTTACAAAGATGGTCATCAAAACCTCATTGCTTATAGTTCTTCTTCGGCGCTCACGTCTCACACCCGGCATACAGCCTCTAGACAGCTCCCAACAAAGGTTTTCAGAACCAATGAGTTAGCAGAAGAAAAGTTAGAATTTTTCAAATTAGGGACTCTCTGAAAAAAAATTACAAATGAGTTGTAATACCTATCATAAATACGCTACTAAAACATTTCGAAGACTAAAGGCATTGGGAAAATATTCAAGAGAAAATGGTAAGTAAAAAAGAATACCAAGCCGGGCGATGGTGGCGCACGCCTTTAATCCCAGCACTTGGGAGGCAGAGGTAGGCGGATCTCTGTGAGTTCGAGACCAGCCTGGTCTACAGAGCTAGTTCCAGGACAGGCTCCAAAGCCACAGAGAAACCCTGTCTCGAAAAACCAAAAAAAAAAAAAAAAAAAAAAAAAAAAAGAATACCAATAACATAGACCTTCAAATACAAATGTTAGTAAGTAATTATCTCTCTGCCCAAAAGAGGGCTTGAAGTAAAAATTACAGTTAGTGACTGGGATTACTATTGGGCAGTGGCATTCTGGGTAGTTTATTTTAGCTGTGCTTTTTCATATGTTGTACGTTGTCCTTCATGAGCGTGTATTGACAACCCAGGCTTTTTCTTTGGGAGGGCGCTTGTTTGTTTGGTGTGTGTTCAGTGCTCAGCATTGAGCCTAGGACTACCATCTGCTGGGCAAGTACTTTCCAACTAACCTGCACCCCTAATCCCTGTGTTTGTTTTATGATCAGAAAGCAATGCATGCTATTGAAACAGTTTTTGTATCATGCTCCGCTAACATTCAGCTCTGAGATGAAAATGTAGCCATTAAAAATCAAGGAGATGGTCCTGGCATGTAGCTTAGTAACATACTGCTCTCCTAGGGTATACAAAGTCCAGGACCACTAAAACCACAGCACCATAGAGTTTAATAGTAGATGCTATGAAGTGATCTGGTATTTGTATGAACATCTGGCTTTCTCTCTCACTTCTTTAGAACAACCACTCACTAGGCAGAAACTTTAGATAATCATCCTGTGTTCAAATGCACAGGCCAGAGCTAAACTTTCTATGTGAGCATCATGCCAATAACAACGCCTACATAAAGGTTATAAAGGTGGGCAAATTATTCCCAACGTTATGCAAAGAAACGCTTGAACTGTAATGCTTTTTCATCAAAGAGAAGTAAGATAACCATTGCGGGGTTGAATAGGCCTTGGGTCAGGTGCTCTGCTGGAATGAGCTTACCCTTAGTTACTCCGTAAGTAGGTTCTTGGACTTAGATGCAAATTACAGCAGAAGAGCTACTGTTACCTAGGAGTTACCGCCCGGAGGTCGTATGCCAGACTGAACATCTTTTCTCTTTCCATGTTCTGAGATGTAGGAACAATAGACACACCTTGAAAGCCCTGCGCTGTATAAACTTGTGTGAATTCGTCTTTTGGGGTGCAGGTGGTAGGAAGAGACAGCGTCATCAGGTCAGCTTGACTTCTTACACTTACAATAGGGCGGTGTGAGCAGCAAAAGCCACCATTATCTATTTATCAATGCCAAGCAAATTTAACAGAACTAACGTTCGTAGACGCGATCAAGAAATACGCTTTCAGCCAGGCGGTGGTGGCACACGCCTTTAATCCCAGCACTCGGGAGGCAAAGGCAGGCGGATCTCTGTGAGTTCAAGGCCAGCCTGGTCTACAAGAGCTAGTTCCAGGACAGGAACCAAAAGCTACGGAGAAACCCTGTCTCGAAAAATAAAAAAAAAATAAAATAAATAAAAAAAAGAAATACGCTTTCTCTTTGCCTTTACTAAGCAACATCTGATGTGTAGCGTCCCTGTTCTTGCAATTGTGGAAGTTGCGGCTGGCTAGGTCCCCATCAAACAAGGTATGTATTTGTTAATTATTTCACTGAGTTCCTTAAACTTCCATTCTAACCTTTTTTTTTCTTGATGCTTTCCTATCATTCATGACTCAAAGAGACTTAGAGAGCGACTGGATGGTGGAATCAGAGAATTTAAAAGAATAACTGAAACTCTGTCTATTCTTCGTTCTGAATGCGTTGGCTGGTTCTATTTTCATAATAATGTTAAGATTAAAGCATCTTCTATACATTAAAACTTACATGTTTTCACCAAAAGGTAAAGTGCGTGTCCCCAGAGGGCCCTTAATATAGTGCTTATATCTCTTCTGTGTGAAATTCGAATCCAGATTTGATTCCAACAAACGGGTCTCTCTTTAAAACTGGTTGCCTAGAGACAAATTCTCCGTGTTCAAGGAGAGAGGTTACCCATTTTTTTCCCCCTAGAAGATAAGCTTGAGAAACAATTGAGATTTTCTAACAGAGTCCTCCCACCCTCTTTTGTGACCGAAGCGGTGAAGCATAAGACCTCCAACTGGCTGAGTGGCTACTTCAGTAGCAGCCCGGGCGCGAAAGGGAACCCAGACTTGGCCCGGGCTGGTGGGAAAGGCGAGTCTGGTTCTAAACACCTGAACCGGGTCCCTAGAATTGATGTCGAGACCCCCAGAAAACCCATAATCATCTCGGGGCGATCTCAGGTGCAGGGGATTTTTTGTTCATCTACATCCACACGCACCCATCCCTCCCAACTCAAGGCATCTTTTCTTCCACAAGTTGTAACCCCCAAATGAGGCCACCTCGCCCCTTTCCCTCTGCCACCTAGAGTCAGGATCAGGTATGGAAACCGACCTTCCACTCCCCCTGTCTCCGGCTTTTCTTAAAGTAACCAGGGTACGTGCTCAAATCTGCCCCAGGGTGTGCGCCCCCAACTTGCCCCGCAGCGTGACCCCCAGGCCCGTGGGGCGCTGGGCATCCCGCGCCGCACGCTCCACCCTCCGCGCGGTTCCGTCAGCTAGCCCAACCCCCGGCCCGCCTCCGGCTCGCTCCATGCGCCCCACCCCTGGCCCGCCGCGCTCGGCCCCGCTCGCCCCTCCTCTGCGTCCGACCGCCCGGTCGCTGGGCGGCTCCCGCGGCTCCCGGGGCTCCAGCCGCAGCCCCTCCTGTCTCCATGGCGACGCGGCGTCCCAGGCTCGCAGCTCGGAACCCAGCGCCGGCGGCGAGCGGGTCTGGCCCTCCTGGTCAACCCTTCGAGGGATCTCTTTGGCAGGGTCGCCAGCGGGTAAGCATCGCCGCGGTGACTGCGAGTAATTTCCTGGTGTCCCCGCTAGTGGCGGGACCCAGCCCGCACCTCCGACGGCGCCTAACCCCGAAAACTTCTCTAACACTGCAGGTTGGGGCTCTGGAGCCCCACGGCTGCCGAGGCACCGCCCGAGAAGGTAAGGATGTTTAGCTGAGAGGAGGGGAGGTCTGCCTGGGTGTACGTATCTCACCCTGCGGCCCGAAGGAAAACTGTCACCTTCCATCGCGGGGCCTGGAAACAATTTAATGATTTATAAGGATGAGCATTCCCTGACTTGCTCTTCCTGATCGCTCAAGAGAAGGGTCAAAATCCAGTCTGGATGGCTTGGTCTGTCCAAAAAAATCAAGAGTTTGACGTTTGACTCCTTGAACCGCACTCCTTTGAACTCCTGTACCGCACACCAATAGGATTTCAACAGTATCTAGTGCAGTAACACCGGTAGCGTAGGTGAAGGTGTTTGTTCTTGCCCCCAAGAAAACTGCTTTTTAAAAAGGAGATCTGAAAAAGATACTTTATTTTTTTAATTTATTTATTTATTAAAGATTTCTGTCTCTTCCCCGCCACCGCCTCCCATTTCCCTCCCCCTCCCCCAATCAAGTCCCCCTCCCTCATCAGCCCAAAGAGCAATCAGGGTTCCCTGCCCTGTGGGAAGTCCAAGGACCACCCACCTCCATCCAGGTCTAGTAAGGTGAGCATCCAAACTGCCTAGGCTCCCACAAAGCCAGTATGTGCAGTAGGATCAAAAACCCATTGCCATTGATCTTGAGTTCTCAGTAGTCCTCATTGTCCGCTATATTCAGTGAGTCAGGTTTTATCCCAGGCTTTTTCAGACCCAGGCCAGCTGGCTGAAAAAGATACTTTAAATACTTTAATTATCCTAAAACTCAATGTCAGTGACTTGCGAACACCACACACACACACACACACACACACACACACACACACGTTTTTATTTTTGTTTTAATCTCCAGAAAACAACCTCAACAGAAATGATCTTTAACTGCCGAGTTTCCAGAACTAAATCCCAACATTTTCCTAGGAACCCCCACTGCACCTGCTCCAGAATTCCAGTCTCTCATCCGTCTTCATTTGAAAGCTACATGCCTTAACTGTGCTCTCTGCTTCCATGTCCAAACAGTCTGGGGTTTCAAGTAGAACTGGTTTTCATTTCCCAGGTTTCAGGACTGTGTGTACAGAGCCAGGCCATGCATAATGAAAGCACTAGGACTTATTGGGGTGGTTGACTTCTAGTGGCAGTTAAGTTCCCTTGTTCTGTGTGTTTACCCGTACAGGAGCCCACGGGGTGAGCGAGTGGTTACCTTGTATCATCATTTTTTACTTCAATGAGCTGAATTACACAGAGGTTAAGGAATTGACTCAAAATTACAAGATCTGTTGAGATTTGAACATAGGTTGCCTCCAGCAAGCCCCTGTCCTGCCAAGGAGGGATTAAGGGGTGGACCATCATTTTATATGGATTTGACGCTGTACAGTGAAGTGTGCCTTGGTTGTGTTATGCTTCCCCCCACTAGCCAATCCTTCTTCACCACAGTCTACACCACAATCCACACCACAGCCTACACCACAGTCTACACCACAATCCACACCACAGTCTACACCACAGTCTACACCACAGCCTACACCACAGTCTACACCACAATCCACACCACAGCCTACACCACAGTCTACACCACAATCCACACCACAGTCTACACCACAGTCTACACCACAGCCTACACCACAGTCTACACCACAATCCACACCACAATCCACACCACAGTCTACTCATCCATTCTCTGTCAATCAGAACACAAGGATGTTTATGAAAACAAATAGAAAAAAAAAGAGCAAGATAGTTGCATAAATACAATAGAGGAAAAATGTTATACCTTCCACCATTACAAGAGAAACCTAAAACAATATTTGGGAATTTGACCCTTCAGCGTTAGCAGCTCAGTTGATAAATAGCTGTTTGGACTTTGCAGTCCACGTGGGACCTGCGTGGCCCCACTGGCTGCTACTTAGTGACATTGGCCTAGATGTGTCTGTTGTGAGATACCTTACATCCATTTTGGGGTACTGAGTCTTTTGGGTACCATCAGTTTGAGGTAACCACATTCCACAGGCTTAGTTCCTGTACATGACTTCATGGCTACTATGGTGAACAGCTCAACTCTAGTTGGCATGTTGTGGTCCTACCCATTCAGCAATTGCTTGCTGAGCAGCAGCTTCCATGATACAGAGCTCACTAGGCCCTAGAAATGGGCAAATCCCCAAAGTCCGTTCTCTCACAGAACTCCCAGCTAGCGAGACCGCGAGTGCATATAAGTGAATGAAACTGCCATGACCTCATATTTGGCTTCATGGGAGACCTCTTTTCTTTTTATCTTTAACATTTTTCTTTTTTCTTTCTTTTTTGTTTTGTTTTTTGAGACAGTACTCATAGGTAGCCCAGGTTAGCCTGGCACTGACAGTCAAGGTACTTTTGCCTTGGCTTACTGAGGTTGTTGGCATGTACCACCATACCCAGTCACGCTCATTTGTTTGTTTGATGGAGCTTGGCTCCAGTCCAATCAGTACCTGATGCCTTTAAACAGATGTAAATACAAAACTTATGACTGAGAAATAGTTTCTTTGTCACTCTCTCTGTTCCTCTCTCACACCAAAGACTGAACACATGGTCTTGCGTATGCTAGGCAAATGACCAACCACTGAGCATTTTTGTTTGAGACAGATGTGAAGTTGTCCAGGCTAGCTTTGAACTTAGCTGTGTAGCCCAGGCTGACCTGGAACTTGGCCTTTCTCCTTCCTCCCTCAGTCCTCCTACAATTACAGGTATATTGCCACTGTTCTGGGCTAAGAGCCAGTTCTCAGGGACCTTCCTCTATGGTTGTGGTCATTTCTGAATTCTCTAGCCAAATCTCCATATTGGTAGGTATTATATATTAATTCTGCTCCCCATCTGCTTTGAGAATGTTCATAACATCCAGGATTGATTCTATCCTTGGCATCTCTTGGTCCATGTAGATGATGCAATCCAATGCAATTCTGTTTATAGATGTAGGCAGTGAATCACCATGGTTGGCCAGCATCTTCTCTGAACTCTTTATCTTGTCTTCTTGCCTCTGTTTTCTCTCAGATTTACCCTCCACCAAATTTCTGGGGTCAATTTAATCTTTGGGTCTTCTTCAAAGCCTTAAATTTGGTTTACCTCCCCCAGTACTTATAGCCCTGACTCCTTAGCATGTACCAATTAATGGCTTCTATACTTTGTCCCCAAATACATCTCTAACTTCTTCTGTAGACTTGCTGACACTGAGTTGGACTCCAGCTTTGTTAATGTCACCTTTACAGTGGTATCCTATGGGGAAGATCCAATCTTACAATGTTACAAACTTGTGGTTGGGAGTCTTTTGATTTGTTCCATGTTGGCAGGTGGACTTAATGCTTCTTACTTGACATGCCCAGAGGCTATGCTAATTCTGCTACTCAGGCTTTTATTATAGGGTACCAGGTAGGATAGCAAGAAATAAGAGCCATAGTAGTCAAATCTTTTGGTTTCAAACAGCAACAACAGACCCCTCACAACTCAGACTTGTTTCAGAAAAAGTGAGAAATTAACTGTCCTGCCCATGGGAGGGACAGAGATTGAGGGGAAATTGGGACTCAGCCAGCATTAAAGATGTATGTGTATGCCTCTTAACTGTGTTCATCCTGTCTCTCCCTTTCTCTCCCTTTCTCCTATCCCTCCCTTCTGTTCCCTCTCTTTCTCCCTCTCCTCTGATCTCTCTTCTCTCACTCCTCATCTCTCAACCCGGAGTTCTAGACTCACATTTTCCCAACTTTATGACAATCCTAGTTGGAAAGCCTCAGAGGAATTTTGTGAGGAGTTAAGCTTGGATCACAGGTACACTACTTGGGCCTGTCACTGTTAGCTTCTGAGTCACCGCCATGGGTGTCTTAGTTAGGGTTACTATTACTGTGTTGGAAAACCATGACCAAATCAACTCAGGGAAGAAAGGGTTTACCTGGCTTATACTTCCACATCTCAGTCCATTGCAGAGGTAAGTCAGGGCAGGAACTCAAACAGGGCAGGAACCCAGAGGCAGGAATTGATGGAGAGGCCATGGAGGGGTGCTGTTTCCTGGTTTGCTCAGCCTGCTTCCTTATAGCACCCAGGATCACCAACCCAGGGGTGGCACCAACCACAATGGACTGGGTCCGCCCAAATAAATCACTAATTAAGAAAGAAAATGTCCTCCAGGCTTGCCTGCAGCCTGATCATATGGAGCAGTTTTCTTAGTTGTTCTCTCCTCTTAGGTGACTTTAGCTTGTGTCAGGTTGACATAAAACTATCCAGCACAGTTGGACAGCCAAGCAGCTAGATTCGGGGGCAGACACTATGTAGTACATTGTTTATGGATGCTTGTAGGAAACAGAGTTACGAACGGAATGCAAGAGACGGATCGTGGCACTGGAGGGTGATTTAGGGGCCGTTCTCCTCCTCAGTCTTTCCACTTCTGCCTCCACGGCAAGTGGACCCTTCTTGGATATCACTTCTTATTCACGTGTTTAAAGGAGTTTGATTGATCTTGGTCTTCACTATTATCTTGGTTTGGACAGTATAGAAAATTACATGGTAGCCCTTCAGAAACCTTGGGTACAAAGCTCTGAAGCCTGGACTGGAAGGGAGACACTGTTTCTGCCTTGAGAGGCTGAGGTTACTTGGGGCTTCCACTTTAATTTCACCCATGTTGAACATTACAGCTTTCTCCATGGGCCAGAGATCTTTGTTAATACGTATCGGTACTTTAGGGCTGAGGTGGCTTTGTAAGTTAATTGTCTTCAAAGCTAGCCTGTTTGTCTCAATCACAGCTTCCATTTTGCTCCTCCCAAAACAATCTTAGCCCAAAGGACATGTCCCCAGCTTTTCTTTTAGATAAAGCTTGAAGGTTTTGGTAGCAGTGTCTCTCCTATGTGCCAGGCTCCGTGTTAAACCCTGTCTTGCTGGGTGGTGGTGGCACACACCTTTAATCCCAGCACTCGGAGGGCAGAGGCAGGTGGATCTCTGTGAGTTCGAGGCCAGCCTGGTCTACAAGAGCTAGTTCCAGGACAGGCGCCAAAGCTACAGAGAAACTCTATCTTGAAAAACCAAAAAACAACCAAAAAAAAAAAAAAAAACTAGTTTACCCAACTTCATCATCACAGTGACCCAGAGAAGTCAGCCTGAACTGAACCTTAAAGGAATGAAGTCACTTTCCAAACTGACCTGAGTAGGTGGCAGACAAGCTTTGAATCTGGTCTCTGACCAGGAGCCCTGCCCCTGGTCAGTGTCACTGACCCCTAAGGAATCAGTGCTAGGATGGGAGATGGCAAGTGGACATCTCTTGGGGAATGGAGCTGATGGACCGAGGAGAGTCTGGGTCTGTCTGTCCTCGTTTCCCTTCACCACAGAAATGGGAAGAGAAGGAACGGTTTGCCTGATTGTGCATCCCAGTAAGGACTGCAGTCCATGCAGATCTGAAGCTGGAGATGTCAGGGAGGCTCTAACTGCGAGGCTCGTGCTCGGCCCGTCTTACCAGCGTGTCCACAGGACAGTAGCCATCTGTGGAGCCCATTTAGGAAAATCATTTATCATACCTTGATTTTTCACAACTGGCTTCCCTCAAAAGATGTCTTGCTTTCTGGTACACTGTAGCTCTCTATCAACTCTGCAACAGAGAATTAAGTTAGTAACATATTTAATATCTGGCTTGGTCAGGGTTCCCAGAATGCAAAGCCGGGGTGAAAGGGTAAACATTTCTGCTTTGCTCAAGAATGAGAGTCTGTGTGAGAGAGACAATTGGAGAGCAAGCAATCCCAACTAATGACCTTTGCTTTGCTGTCTACAGTCTTGGCCCTGAATTTTGTATTCCAGAAATCCCCAGGTATGTAATAATAACCATTCTAAAAGTCTCATTTGAGTGCTGGGCATGGTGCCACACAGCTGTAATCCCAGCACTTGGGAGGCAGGTGGATCTCTGTGAATTCAAAACCAGCTTGGTCCGTGTTGGGAGTTCCGGGTCAGTCAGAGCTACTAAAATGAGGCCCTGCCTGCTCTGGGATGTGGAGCCAAGTGGGGAAATGAGTGAATTGTTAACATATTCTGTAATTAAGTGTGACCTTTTCCATAAGTGAAAAATACAATTAAATGAAATGTGTCTAGACATTTAAAGGGCTCCATTATGGGGAAAACCAATTATATAACTAAGTAACTTAGAAAGCACCAAAACCTCAGAGAAAACATTCAACTTCTAAGTATTAGTACATGCATGTCATGTGAAGATTTATGAGGAAAATTTACAATGTATCATTAGATAAAATAAAAGGTCAATTTGTACTTTTAAATGAGACATGTTATTAAATAGTTGAATAACACCTAATATTTAAATAACATTTAAATATTCAGACAATCAGTGAAATTCCATATCCTTCCACCTTCCTCTGGCTCCCTGCTCTAAAGGGTGTCCTTCCTGGCCCCAGCAAACTGGACTGTGGCAGCGACTGACTTATGTACCCTGTTCTAGTTTGTTGAAGCTGGGGAGAGAAATATAAATGCGAACTGAATGAAGTTACAATTTCCAGGGTCAGCTCAGTGGGAAGGATGTCCTAGGCCTACTACTGAATGTATTTTAATCTAGACCCAGAGTTCAAGATAATGAACCGCAAAGGTAGCATCCCTAGAGGACTGTCCGGCACATCGCCACTGCCCCGTGCAGAATCCTTTCTGCAGCTCTGTCTACATGCTCACCAAGGAGAGATAAGAAAGTTGGTTTCTCTACACCAGTGCTTCTCAACCTTCCTAATGCTGCGACCCTTTAGTACAGTTCCTCAAGTTGTGGAGACCCCAACCATGTAAATTATTTTCATTGCTACTTCATAACTGTACCGTTGGGGATCATAATGTGTTTTCCAATGGTCTTAGGGGACCCCTGTGGAAGGGTCGTTCAGTCCCCCTAAGGGGTCGCTACCCACAGGTTGAGAACTGCTGCTCTAGCCTTTCTACCTTCATCCCTTACCCTGGCTGGGTCCGTGCTCCACGGCCTGCTGACAGGTCTGTGCTTTGCTTCATTTGTGGGTACACTCAAACAAGTATTCAGAAATTTGCAAAGTGAATATCTTGTTCCTTTGTTTTGCAGAAACTACGTAGACAAGAAAGATGTTGTAAAGGTAAAGGGTGCGGGGCTGGGATGCAGCTCAGCTGGTACAGTGCTTGCCTAGCATGGCAAACGGGAAAGCCCCTTCCATCCCCAACCTCCATGAACTGGGCAAGGTAGCACAAGCTGGGCTTACTTGCCCTGTGCATTTTTGGTTGTGTGCCTGCTCTTTTGATGGCTAACCCATTTCTCCACCTCAGTCCTAACACTTGGGAGGTGAAAGTAAAAAGATCAGAAGTTCAAGGTCATCTGTGGCTACACGATAAGTTCAAGGCCAGCCCTGGATTCTTAAATATGACTTGTCTCAAAAAAAAAATAGGTAAAATGTATACTGCTGAAGGTTTTGTTCTTGTTTTTGGTTTTATTTTTAGAATGCTTTGGGTCAGCTTTACCATCAATTTATAAAGTTTAAAAATAATTGGCTTTAGTATATATTACACAATAGAAATATTTACACAAAGGCTCTTGTTATATTTTTTCCAAATACTTCAAACTGAAATAACAGTGATAATTCTAGTTTTTCTTCTCACTTCTATTTTAGGCATCAAAAAGCAGACCGAATGGCACATTGCTAGTGTTTGACCCAAAGGGTAAGTGATTTATTTCTTAGAATGTGTTTGACCATGATCTTACTCTGAATATTAGTTAAGAAGAATATTGAAGTGGTTGAATGTGGTTGTATTACTAAATATTAAAACCCTGTGTTATGTATCTTTCAAAAAAAACTTAACTATTTTTCAATTAAAAATTTATGTTAGAAATAAAACTGTTGAAAAAAATAAAAAATATTTTTTTTCTTCTCTTTCAGAAAAAGTGATGATTGACCCAAATAAAACAGTGCCACAGTAAGAAAATGTCTTTGGTCTTGCCATTTAAGTAATTAGACGTAGATAATGCAAACCGGTTGTCACCTAATTAAACTTGTGAAGGCAGACATGCGGGAATGGGATCAGCTGTCACTTGAGTGGAGAAATATTTAAAATGAAAACTGACTGAGACAGAAGTGAAATAGGCAGTACTCTCTTCTGCCCGATGCTTAAATGAGTGTTTTCTGGCTACACTTCCCACTGTTCTTCTGTTCTTTTGGTTTTGTTTTGTTTTGTTTGTTTTTTGAGACGGAGCTTTGGATACTGTCTTGGAACTCACTCTGTAGACCAGGCTGGCCTCAAACTCACAGAGATCCACCTGCCTCTGCCTCCCGGGAGTGTCAGGATTAAAGGCTTGAGCCACCAACTCCCAGAAATACTGCCTCCTTCTTTAAAACATCCCTGTGAGTAGTTACTTTAAAATTAGTATTCTCAGCTGGGCTGTGGTGGTGCACGCCTTTATTCCCAGCACTCGGGAGGCAGAGGCAGGTGAATCCCTGTGAGTTCGAGGCCAGCCTGGTCTACAAGAGCTAGTTTCAGGACAGTTAGGACTGTTACACAGGGAAACCCTGTCTTGAAAAACCAAAAAAAAAAAAAAATTTAGTATTCTCAGCTCATTTAATGTACATTATTAGTCCTACATAAAAAATAAATAAATCATCTTGAATAGTTGAAGAAGCTGGTGTTTGAAAGTCACGGAGGAGTAGATCAGTCAAATTGTTGACTGAGATCCTGCTCCGTTCATAGGATCTAATACTTGGTTAAAGTACTTCATGATACTATCTGGAGGGAAATATAATATGTAGATAAAGCTGTGGGCCACTTCCCGCCACCTGACTTCTAGCTGCTGGCTAGCTTTACCCAAAATAATTACATGGAAACTGTATTCTTTTAAACACTGCTTGGCCCATTAGCTCTAGCCTCTTACTGGCTAATTCTCACATCTTGATTAACCCATTTCTAATAATCTGTGTAGCTCCACAAGGTGGTGGCCTCCTGGGAAGGATCTTAACCTGCGTCCATCTTGGAGAGGAGAGCTATAGCATCTGTCTCACTTCCCTTCTTCCTCCCAGCATTCTGTTCTGTCTGCTCCACCTACCTAATTTTCTGTCCTATCAGGCCAAGCAGTTTTCTTTATTAACTAACCAATGAAACTACAGATAGACAGATGATCCTCATACATCAATAATATTTGTTCTGTGAATAAATATTGTAATTAAATAAATAAATAAAGTTTGAATGTTGACCTTAAAACAAATTCCTAGGGCTGGAGAGCTGGCTCAGCAGTTAAGAACCTCTTCCATGGTGGCTCACAAACATCTGTAACTCTAGTCTCAGGGAATCCAACAGCCTCTTCTGGCCTTTTAGGGCACTGCATACATATGGTACAGACTCTTGCAGGCAAAGCACCCATACACATAAACTAAAATGAAAAGCAAAAGGTGCCTGTGCCAACCCTGATCCCTCAGTTGAGTTCTCAAGACTCACATGGTCGAAGGAGAGAAATCTCTCCCAGGAATTCATATGAATCAGTGGGTTCTCCACCTTCCTGAGGGTACAGTCCCTCCATACAGTTCCTTATGCTGTGGTGACTCCAACCATAAAATTATTTTCGCTGCGACTTCATAACTGTAATTTTTCCCCTGTTCTGAATGGTAATGCAAATATCTGATATGCACATATAGATATCTGACATACATATGCAAATATATGATATATACATGCAAATATATGATATACACATGCAAATATATGATATATATGCAAATATATGATGTGCATATGCAAATAACCAATATACATATGGCCCACTAAGACCCCTGTGATAGGGTTGTTCAGCCTCCTAGGGGTCTTGGCCGCAGCTTGAGAATCATTGATACACACACACACATACACACACACACACACACACTCACGCATGAATATAAACATAGTTCTTGGGAGCTGCAGGTAGATTGTCTATCATTCCCAAAGTCCTGCTTCATTTTGAATCCTATTGGCCAAGAAGAATTCTACTCCATGCAACATATATTTTACTTCCATACTGTAATATCTAAAATATCCATCTTCGGTTTTGTTGCAAACTTTATACATCCTATAAATAAACCTAAAAAAAAAAAAAACAAAAAACATGAGCTGGGCATGGTGGTGCACACCTTTAATCCCAGCCCTCAGGAAGCAGAGCCAGGCAGATCTCTGAGTTTGAAGCCAGCCTGATCCACAGAGTGAGTTCTAGGACAGCCAAGGCTAATCAGAGAAATTCTTGTCTCTACAAAAATAGCAACAACAATAAAAAACAAACAAAAAACCAAACTTGTGTATATGTAGTGAGTGACACGAGCCACGTGTGTGAAGGTCAGGAGACCATTCAGCTAGGAGTTGAGTGTCTCCTTCTGTCATGTAGGTCCTGGGACTTAAAATCAGATCATCAGGCTTGGCAGCTTGGGGCTTCCTCAGCTGTGCCACCTCAGCACCCTGTATATTTTGTATCAAAGAGAAAATAATATGTAACAGAACAATATTAGAGGACTTACATTTGTTTCAAATTAAGGTTACAGTCCACCAGGAAAAAAAGCCTATAGAAAGTATTTCTGTCTCCAGGCACATAATTCTAGCCTGTTGTTACATAGTTGAAAGCATACTCAAAAAGCGTGAGATGTGATGTGCAGTCGTAATGGAGGTTAGCGGGTCATCTATTGGTAGAAATAAGTGAGAGCTGTGTCCTGGAACCCTGCTACATCGGTTGCTTTTCTTGGTACTGTGACAAAATAAATACCTGACAAACAACTTGAGTAAAAGGGATTTATTCTGTATCACATCATGGCCAGAAAGGATGCCCCACAGGGGCATGAGGTGGCTAGGCACGCTTGGGGCAGTCAGGTGGTGAACGCCATGCTAGCTTGCTTTCTCCTTTTCATTAAGCCCTGAGATCCAGCCCTTGTAATGGTGCTGCTCATATTTAATAACTCTTTCTACCTCAGGGAACTCAAATCTATAAACTCCCTCATAAGTGAGCCCCAAGCACTGTCTCCCAGGTGATCTAGAGCTTGTCAGATTGACAGTCTAGAGATTGGGTGCCTTGGGGCCGGTGTGTCTGTAGATGGCAGTCAATGTTCATAGACATGGTGAGCAGGGGTGAGACTCGGGGGTGATCCATATCCCGAGGGAGACGCAGCTCAGGAGGTCATTGCAGCTTGGACCCAGACAGAAAAGCAGAGGGGCAAGTCCCTCCAGCCCCATTCTACCTTTTGCAAGAGCAACATGGTCAGGACCTCCTGTGCCCATTCAGGGACAAGAGCAAGGCTGATCAATTCAGCCAGTGAGCTTTACAGATGTGTGGCGTGACCACCCCAGGCCCCTTACCCAAGGTGAGGGTAAAAGGGGTTAGTGTTTGAAGACAAGTCATAGTAAAATGGAAAACTGCAGGAACCATAGCTCAGAGGATTAACTCATGCAAAGTCAGTGACTTTCACAGTGGGCTTCTCATCCACTTCCATCCCATGCTGACTCCACCCACTGACTGGCAGGTCTGATTTGGTTAAGTAAAGACCCCACTTGTGGTAGGTTAGAGACAACTGTCTCTCTTCTTTCCCTTGTCTTCTCTTCTGTACCAGCTAAGGGAAAATGGCTGCCGCCAACTCACAGTTCTTTGGCCAACGTTGAAGAAACTGTATCCCTGGGGGGTTGTTCCAGAATGGCGGTAGGCTGAACAGCCTTTTCTAAAATGAATGCTAAGCTGCGCTTTTTCCTTTCTGCTTCACTTTTAAGATGCCTTGGACGAAGACCAAGATTGGCAAGCAAGCTTTATAGTTCCCCAACAGAGATCTCCCTGGGAATAGCTAATACATTCTCAGCAAAGTAAGATTTATTAAATAACTTTTGGGTTTGACCCATGGTTGATTCATATAAATTATTTAGGACAAAATTTAAATTGTAAGTTTTCTGATAGTACTACTAATAACAACTGGGAACATCTCCTAAATAGGCAGATATTAATTGTTATTAATTATTAATGTTATTTATTATATAAATAAGCTAAGAAAAATGCTAAAACTTAGGATATCTACCCTCAGTCATAACCACTTGCTTTGTAGTTTGAGGCTGGCCTCAAACTCACCGAGATCCTCCTGCCTCTGCCTCCTGAGTGCTAGGATTAAAGGTGTGCACCAGCACCTCCTCGCTAGTGCATAACTTTTTTGTTTGATTTGTTTTTTGAGACAAGGTCTCTCTGTGTAGTCCTGCCTGTCTTGAATCTTACTTTGTAGACCAGGCTGGCCTCTGCCTCCCAAATGCTGGAAATAAAGGCACATGTACCACCATGCCTGGCTTGATGGCACATAACATTTCATTGTGTATCTGCACCATGTATTTTCTTTACCTACTCATCTTGTCTTAGTTAGGTTTACTACTGCTGTGATGAAACACCATGACCAAAGAAACTTAGGAAAGAAAATGTTTAGTTAAAGGCTTGCTTACAATTTCAGAGGGTGAGCCCATGACCATTATGGGGGTAGGATAGCAGCAGGCAGGCCAGGATGGCACTGAACCTGTAGCTGGGAGCTCATATCTGGTCCACAGGTTGCAGGCAGAGAGCAAGCAAGGCTGGGCTTAGCATGGGCTTTACAAACCTCAAAGTCCATCTTCAGTAGCACACCTCCTCTACCAAGGCCACACCTACTAACCCTTCTCAAACAGTTGCGCTAACTGGGAGCCAGACATTCAAACATGCGATTCTATGGGAGCCATTCCTATTCAAACCGCCACATACCCATTGATGACTATTAGACTGTTCCCACTCTCTGACTGTGGTGAATAGTGCAATAACAAACATTTATGTTGAGTATCTCTAGGGTATGATGGTTTAGAATTATCAGAATGAACGAACAGGGTAGCTTAGTCCTAGGAAATAAAGGCTCCACTCTTACCTTTTCTAAGGAATATAGCAAGCTGGTCAACCCAGTTGTAAAGTCGTAACCCCAGGGCTAGCAAGAGGAACAGAAAGTAAAAAGGAGATTAGCACACAGCCTGATTTCTTGAGTTTGGGCCCTTGTGGTGAAGGGTAGCTGTCCTCTCACCTCCACATACAAGCCATGAAATATGCCAACATACATAGTACATGCAAAGAGAGAAATAAAGAAGGAAAGAGAGAAGAAATGAAGAGAGAGAAAAGAAGAAAAGAAAAACAGAACCCAAGATAGCTGACTGTTCTGAGGTCAGTGTTTGAAGGAGCAAAGCCACCACAATTTGAGGGCAAAATAACACTTTATCTTTTTGTGTTTTTCCATGCAATTTTTTCTTTGAAGTTTGAGAACAAGACACACTGGAAGATTCTTAATCCCTCTGAAAAGGGATTTGGGTTATTTTTCCACAAGCGTAGGCGTGCTTCTCTGGGAATGAACACTGTATCCAGAATGGCTTTGTGTTCATGTGCTGTTTATTGGCTTGCAGTTTCAGATGTAAAAGCTCAAAGAGGCTGTTTTAGGCTGTGGGGTGAACATGAGTGTTGGAACCTCACTAAAAGTACAGCACTTGGCAAGAGCACACATCTATTTATACTTTTTTTTTTTGAAAGCCATTCAAGGCCAGTTTCCTTAAATGGCTTTATGTCTCCACGTCACAATGATTTCCTAAGTGGTGCTCTCACATGCTCTGGGTTGGAACTCTGCAAAGATTCTAGGAATTGTTGCACAATAATGAGTGCCAAGCAGAAATAGTTTTTTATCAGCAATGAAAATTATACTTTTCTAAAGAGCCAGCATTCTATTTAAATCCATATTTGGTATATTATGATTTTCTTTGAAACATAGTTGGCACGTGTGTGTGTGTGTGTGTGTGTGTGTGTGTGTTATGAACTCTGACGAGCTGTTGCACTATCTGCTTTGACGGTTAGGAAAGAACCCTGTGCAAAGAAGACTGAAGATAAAGTCTCTTCAAAAAGTCCTGAAAGCAGACCATCCTCAAGGAGTGTTGAAAATAAGGATGTCTTAACAAATCGGCAGTCTGACCTGTGGTTATCCTCCTTCCTTAAAGAAACTGCAGGTAACAAATAGCATGTCTTGGGCTGGAGAGATGGCTCAGTGAGTAAGAGCATTGGCTGCTCTTCCAGAGGACCCGGGTTCAATTCCCAGCACCCACCGGGCAGCTCACAAGTCCAGTTTCAGGGGATCTGACACCTTCACGCCAATAAAGTTAAGTAAATTATAAAAAATAATATTAAAAAATCAAAATAAATAGCATGTCTTACTGGGCTGAATAATTGTGGCTTCTGTTCTAGCCCAACTGTCCATGATCTTTTGGACATGAGTTGACAACACTGTCACTCTGAGGCAGGTCAAAGGAAGCAGTAATTGTTCAAACTCACATACCCGGTTATTTGATATACATTCAGATAGGCATCTGTGGATATGTATGATGATCACTACAGGGTATTAGACCCTAGAATAGATTAAAACACTATGACAGCTTACCAAGCCAGAGTGCTAGGTACCAGCTTAAAAATCTGGATACAAATAAAAAAAATCTGGATACAGTTGTCAAGGCAGACACTGACATTTCTCTTAGGAAGTCACATTCTACAGGAAGATAGTTCTTAAAAAGTAAGTGTTTATCGGTTGAAGAATAGAAACAGAAGATGTGGCTTACTTATAGAAAGGAATAGCTTGGACATTAAAAATAAATGAAATTATGTCATTTACAATGCGGATGGAACTGGAGATCTCTATATTAAATGAAACAAACCAGGCAGAGAGACAGTGCCACACCCTCATCATGGGATGAGTAGTTAAGACTGGAGGAGGGGTTACCACACGCTGGGAAGAGGAGGGAGAAAGGAGGGCTGAGGAAAAACTCAGCACAGGTTAGAGATAGGAGTCTGATGTGTTGTTAAACAGTTGGGTGGCTGGAAGCCAGGAAAATGATCTCAAAAAACTTAGCCTGATGGGGTTCATGTAGCCGTAAGGAAGTGATGTGTCTCATGCATTGAAACATTATGGTACTCATGAATACGTTGTGTGTGTGTGTGTGTGTGTGTGTGTGTGTGTGTGTGTGTGTGTGTGTAAGTCAAGGTTTCTCTGGGTAGCCCAGACTGTCCTGGGACTTGTTCTGTAAACCAGGTTGGCTTCAAACTCAGAGATCTGCCTCTGAATGCAGGGATTAAAGGCATGCACCACCATGGTCAGCTGAATGCTATCTTTATCAATCACTATAAATAAAAGTTTTGAACAGCAGTGTGAAACACCAACTTGAAAGACAATTTGAGGCTGTAGGAGGGGCCACCCAGGAGAGAATCCTCTGGACTGGGAGATTTGGGAACTTGTGCACTACCCTGTGTGTGCAGTGAATGAGCCCGTCCCTGTGATGTCGCAGGATGTTCTTGGTCACCCATTATGACCTTCCTCTGATGACATCAGTATGGTGAGGTGGTGCAGAGACCAGGCGTGCTCTAGAGGTTCAGGAGGTTACAATTCCATGGAGACTGTGGATGAGAAAAAAACAGGTAGATGGGTACCTTCAAAAGAGCTAGTGTCGTGTTTCAGGCTGACATGTTTGGCTTGGAGTTGGTTTTACTTTATCTTTTTTTTTTCTGGTCTGTATTTTTCCAGCCTGTCTTCTTTGGTGCTCTTCTCTGAAAACCATCTTTTTCTTTCCTATAAAGTGTTTTTATGTCATTTAGAGTACCTCATGGCCATGGTCTCATCAATGAAGAGACCCCACAGACATTTCGAGAAGGGACTGGGTCTAACTAGTTCAGTCTGAAAGTATGAAAGACTACACAAAGCCAAAGGGGTACCCCACAGTGCTTCCCATGGGATGGAGGGCACATTAGAAGAAACAAAGTGAAATATTCTTCACAATTGCCATAATACTGCATCTTAATGCATTTCAGGAAAGATTAATGTAGAACATGGTATTAGTTCTAGCCGATACTCTTGACTGACTCCTAGACCAAGTGGGGTTGCTACATGAACTTAAATAGAGGTTGTTTCACCTTTTTGTCCTATTTGCTCATCAGTAAATAGGAATAGAAACACTACCCAGATGGAGGTGGCTCAGTGGTTAAGAGCACTGGCTGCTTTTGCAGAGGACCCAGGTTCAATTCCCAGCACCCATGTGGCAGCTCACAACTGTCTATAATTCCAGTTCTAGAGGACCCAACACCCTCTCACAGATATGAATGTAGATGAAACACCCGTGCACATAAAATAAAATAAAATAAAATAAAATAAAATAAAATAAAAGGAACCATCTTAAAGAACAACAAAATTTATAAAGCAAGAAGGAAAACACTGCCTGTCTCCCTGGGATGTTTAGAGAGATAAGTGAGCTGATACGTGTACAGAGGTGGGCAGTAATGGTGGGTTTGTGCGCTGATTGTCTTTTATTAATATATTGGTTTCACAGATGCTAATAGGATCTGGTTCAGTTTAACACCTTGGTTATGTGTGCTCTGTTTAAGATGAAGTGGACAAGGATACAATCCTTGCAAAGCAAGAGAAAATCAGTGAGTATTGCCTTGACGACATCGAGGAGAAGTTGTCGGATTCGACAGATGGCGATGGTGACGATGACACCAACAATGAAGATGACGAAGGCACCCCTAAAAAGGAGACTCGTGCCCCGCTAGAGTTGATGGCAGAAGTAAGTTTTTTGGTTTGGGTTTCTGTAGGGTTTCTTTCTGTAGCTCTGGATCAAGTCTTGGAACTCACGCTATAGACCAGGCTGGCCTCGAACTAATAGAGATCTGCCTGCCTCTGCCTCCTGAGTGCTAAGATTAAAGGCGTGCACCACCACCGCCCGGCCAGCAGAAGTAAGTTTTTGTGTGTGTATTATAACTGAAAACATACAAATATCAGAATAATTAAACAGGATACTACGTTATTAGATAGAGTAAATGAATTAGTATATATTAATTATTTAAAAATTAGACTATTTCTTTGAGGACCATTTCTCCCTAAACCTGGCTCTAGGTGTGTGTGGGGAGATAGAGACAGGATGTACTTTATCCTGCATGTCAGCTCCGTGGTGGAGCATGTGCTCAGTCTGCAAAAGGCCCTGAACTGACCTCTGCTCCCAACTCCCAGCAAATAAAGACTATTTAGTGCCAAAGGGGGAAAGGAATCACAAATTGTGGGTTTTTTTTTTCTTAGTTTCTGGATAATCTCAATACATATATGTAGTGACATTTCATTTGTATTTTAATAAATAAAGCTTGCCTGAAGACCAGACAGTAAAACAGCATCACTGGTCAGCCTTGTAGACCAGGCAGTGAAGACACACACCTTTCATCCCAGTAGCCACACTAGTTTCCATGGAAACCGGGAAGTAGTGGTGCACACCTTTAATCCCAGCACTAGAGAGGAATATGAAATGGGAGAAGACAGCTCTCAGTGTCTCATTCTGAGATTCCTGGAGGCAGGATCGCCATTTCTGACTGAGGTAGAGATAAGTGCCAGTGGCTGGCTGTTTTTCTTTTTCTTTTTTTTTTTTTTAGGTTTTCTGAGACAGGCTTTCTCTGTAGCTTTGGAGCCTGCCTTGGAACTAGCTCCAGTAGACCATGCTGGCCTCAAACTCACAGAGATCCACCTGTTTCTGTCTCTGGGTTTTTTGTTAATCAGGCTATGTATATGCACATAAATGCTCATTTCTATCTTAAATACCTGAAAAAAAATTCTGGCTGATTGGACAGAAGCATCGGCCTCTTGTAGATGATCTGGGTCTGGTTTCCAGCACCCACATGGCTGCTCATATCCACCCATAACTCCAGTTCTAGAGTGATGCCCTCTTCTGACCTCCATGGGCATGCGTGTGGTACCTATATACCTGCGGCAAAATGCTTATGCACATGAAATATTTTTTTAAAAAATACATGAAAATGTTAAAAAATAATTACATCTTTAGGTAGTGGAAGTATTTTCAATGAGGTACAAAGTATAAATTATAAAATTATAAAACAGTAGAAGGAAAACGATGCTGCCTTGGCAGTGCCGGTAGATGCCGAGCTACATAGTGTTCATCCACAGTTCTTCTGCCTGTCTTTAAAGATTTACTTGTGTGTGTGTGTGTGTGTGTGTGTGTGTGTGTGTGTGCGCGCATGCGCGTGCGCGCGCCGCATGCTTTCATGTGTTCATGTGAACCACACATGAATGTCCTCAGGTCAGAAGAGGAACTGGAGTTACAGATTGTCATGAACCATGATACAGGTAGTAGCAACAGAACCTGGGTCTTCTTAAGAGCAGCAAGTGCTATTAACTGCCCAGCCATCTCTCTGGCCCCCATGGTTTGTTTTAAACTCCTAGTATGACATTATGGTCTGCACTGGCAGAGGGAAGCTGACCCTGAACCAGAGAAATATGTAAACAGCGAGACCAATGTGATGTCAGTTGAATCAACCTCTCCATTCTCGGGCTCCTAAGTAACGCACAGACCTTGTAGCTAGGCAACAGGACTGGGCTCTCTCACCAAGCTCCATCACACGGCTTCAGATACACACCTGGGTGGAGAGATGGCTCAGTGGTTAAGAACATTTCCTGCTCTTCCAGAGGATGGGTAATTTGGTTCCCAGCCCACACACCAGGTAGCTCACAACTGCCTGTAACTCCAGCTCCACAGAATCCAACGCCCTCTCTGACCTCTGCAGGCATCTGCACACACAGCTGGCATGTATTCACACAGACACATACACACATATATGTGAATAAAAATAAAGATAATTAAGTATAAAAATATCTAAGTGTGGTTAGTTGACTGGCTGCAGACTCACTCATGGAGAAATGTATAAATGTTAAAAACAGAATAACTGCCAGGAGGTGGCACACACCTTTAACCCCAGCACTCAGAAGAAGAGGCAGGAGGATTTCTCTGAGTTCAAGGCCAACCTGGTCTACAAAATCTTGAGCCCTGCCCCCCCCAGTCAGAATAACTAATCATTAATTAGTATTTTTAGGGTGTGTATTATAATTGACATGCAAATTCTGTCTTGAAACCACTTTCTGACAAATTTGTTTTTTAGTTCCTGAGAGCAGAAATGGGCCGAGACTACCAGCTGGCCAAAAAGTTATGTCAGATGAGTAAGTACAAAACGCTCACCTTCTCCGGCATCCCTTTGTTTCTAGAAACAGATCCCACAGTACGAAGATGGCTTGACCATCCCAGTCTAGTGAACTCTCTGCCAACGTCTCAGGGATCCCTTAGGATAAATGAGTTCAGTTATCTAGGGACTCACTGGGACTTCTAGGATACTACTTTGTGTATTAAATCAAAGTACATTAATAGACCGGTTGCTAACCTGGAAAAGAGACTCATGACTGGGGAGGCAGTAAATCACTTTATGCCCCTGGTTTCAGAGACGCACCAGGTGGGACGGGAGTCAACATTAGCTGAACCTGTGTTTATCCCACCAATGTCCAGCCCTGCTTGTGTGCCAGGCACTGTGTGAGACCCTGGAAAGTCAGCAGGCAACTGAAACCAGCCCCACAGTCAGGTCTAGTGCTGGACAGAAAAGAAACTAGTAGGTAAATTGTGTGCCAGGAATGATGGGTGCCCTAGCTGCTGGCTCCTCTTTTCCTGAGTCTCCAGTTGCAAGCAAAAAATAAAATATAAAAATAAATGGTGCCCAATGTGTGTCTTACACTCAGCTCTGAGTTTTAAATTTTAGTTCTGTGCCTTGTTTTGGGCATTTTCTATTGACCTGTTTTTTTTTTCTTTTTCTTTCTTTTTTTTTTTTTTACTTACCCTCCTTCCCTGTGTCCAGTCTGCTGTTATAACTATCCAGGGAGTGAGCCAAGTGGTGGTGTCACACTCCTTTAATCCCAGAATTTGGGAGACAGAGACAGGCAGGTTTCCATGAGTTTGAGGCTACCCTGGTCTACAAAACAAGTTCCAGAACAGCCAGGGCTGTTACAAGATAAACCGGTCTTGAAAACTACAAAAAAACAAAATAAACTATTCAGGGAGTGAGTTTCAGAGATTCTGTTTTCCAACATTAGAATGTTTCTTTAATGATTTGGGAAGATACCAGCCAGCTCTTACCTTGTACTTAATGTATTCCCAACCATTCTGACCACCTTCCCTTCTCTTTTCTCTTCTTCTTCTCTTCTCTTCCTTTTCTTTTCCTCTTCTCTTCTCTTCTCTTCTCTTCTCTCTTCTCTAATCAAGTCTCTCTACATAGCCTTCTGTCCTGTACTCACTACATAGACCAGGCTGGCCATGCAGATAAGGCTGGCCCCACCTTTTCTTCTAATATGGCAGTCATGGTTATTTTAAAAGTTAAAAATAGCAACCCTATTCCTCACTGATACTGAGACCCAAAACGGTGACTGTGATGGCCTTCAGTGAACACCTAGCCCAGGGTGGGAGTGTCCCCTCCCTGACACAGCACTTCACTGCTGGCTAAAGTGGCTTCATGACCCTGTTAGCACTGCATGGTTTGCATTGGAGGTGGTGCGCTTTATTAATTCTCGCAAACACTTTTGACCTTTTGTGTCTTTCAAGTAAAATGTTGGGTGCCCCACACAGAATTTCCCATCAGGAATCCAGTGTGTTCAAACACAGACCCATGCCCATGCTAGCACATCCTCTACAGCTGAGCTTGCCTGGCCCCCAGCCCTCCCATTCTGTAAAGGAGCTGAAGCAGGAGGTAGGTGGCTGGCTTGGCACGACTCACAGTGACGGTGGCACAGGAGAGCAGGAGCCCAAGCCTCTTCCTCTAGTGTCCTCCTCCTCCCCGGGGGTGGGGGGAGGATAGAAGTGAGCGATTCTGCTTCTCTCACTCAAACTCCATGGATTTCTTATGGAGCCCAGATTGGGGGAAAGAATACTTTTTTAAAAATTTCTGTACCCATCAGTCATTCCAGAAGGCCTGACTGAAGCTTGCACACTCTCGGCACCAGTATGACATCCATCAGGTGGTTCTGACCAACACCCTGGCAGTGGTTGGCACAGATGGTAGGCGTTCTGTACGGTGCTGCTGGCCTGCCTCACCTGTCCACTGGGCTGAAAAAGTTTAAACTGATCTGTGTTCATGGGATTATATCCTCATGGAATTCCCTCCTCCCTGTCCTCTCCCCTTTCTTTCCCTCCTTCCTGCACCGGTGTGTTGAACACATGTTCTACCCTGACAAGCTGGAAAGAGCCCGGGGATTCAGGCTCATTCACCTTCCCATCTAGGCTCACCCATTTACACTGCTCACATACCTGTCTCCTAGCCCGTATTACTTCTGTCTGGGCATAGCGTGGTCTGCTTCCTGTCCCTCCGTCTATACGCATTTACTCTGGCATTTAGGGGGCTCCTGCTATGATACACACCTGAGTGGGGGTATAGCTGTGCTTTCTGCTTTAATTCTCCCATGCTGAGGAACAGAGAGACACAGCCCACTGCTTCACCGCCCCAGCCCCTCAGTCAAAAGAAGGCCCCCACTGAAAGTTAGCCATTCTCTACCCTAGAGCCATTCTTTTTAAATAATATTAATGACAATAACATCTAATACTTATTAATTGTTCTGCCATTCGCCAAGCCCTGATTCACACTCCTAAAGTAATCAGTATGGTAAACATCACAAGGAGCCTGAAGCGCAGGCTTGAAATACTGAAACAGGACCCCGAAGCATTCCTGTAGGGGGCTCTTGCTTTCCCAGGTGCTCAGATGGCTCCAGGTTAGTAAACAGTCTCTAACACAAAATGCCAGAAATTTCCATCAGCTCGTCACAGACCCTCTCAGTCACTCTGGGAATAAGGATCACTAGAGCATGAACTAGGTACCGCTGGCCAAGCTTAAAGCTGCTTCCATTCCTTCGCTCTCTGGAAACTGACAGCTGGAGCAGCCAGGCTGAACCCCGGGGATAGCTCGCCTCATATCTGATCCCGTGAGATAATCCCAATTCCAACAGGAAACTTCCTAAATTGTTTTAAGACTTGTTAACCTGTTCTGCCAAAACGAGTCCACTGTCAAAGACATTTGGGAACCCACAGTCTGGATCTGTGAATATTTCTCTGTGTCCTGCGGTTCCTCCTCCCTGTAAACGGGACCTCCTTAACTGTATTTGACCTAGTCTGTCAAATGGATGTGTCCAGGGCAAATCAGACCCTGCTCTGCAAAGAGGCTTTGCCTCACAGAAGTAATTTAGGCTAATGATAAGCACATCTAGTCTAACTTAAAATACAGAAATAAGCATTTTGACAAGAAAGCATTGGTTCTGAAGACCCCTAAAGTCCTTGAAAGGAGCTTCTGAGCGGGCACATAGTCCGACTCAGACTGATGAGAATTGTTAATCACCTTTAGTGATGTCAGGAATAGTCACTGGCATGGTGAATTGAGGCAGACGCCTGGGGATGATTTCCTGTGAGTCAGTGGAGTCTCGAACCATCCACCCTTCTCAGACAGGCAAATGAATAATAGCACGCTTGGTGTTTCAGTGCCCCCTGGGGGCCGCTAAGATAACTGCAAGAGAGGGAAGTGGGTGTGTGGAAAGAAACCGGAATACTCCTCAAGGCAGGTGGAAAAGAGGAGAACGGTCTGCAGGGTTTTGAAAAGAAAGGGTGACCTCGAAATGAAACTCTGGCCTCTAGGGTACTGGTAGCATATCAACAGGCCCCTGGAAAGTAGTTCAAAGGAAGTAACACAGTTACAGCAAGGATCAGCAAAGGGGAAGATCATAGATAGATAGATAGATAGATAGATAGATAGATAGATAGATAGGTAGATAGATAGGTAGATAAGGGCTGTGGAGAGGGGAGAGCATTGAAGAGGGCAGGGTTGGGGTAGAGACTACGGGTAAAAATTGTCAGAAGAGAAAGAAAGTATAGTTTCCCTGTTTGGAACAGTGGCGTGTCTGTCGTGGAAGAGTTTGTACAAAGAAGAAAACTTGACTCTTTTGGGATAGATGGGACCTTTATGTAGACTCTGTCGTGCAGACCCTGGGCGGATGAGATTGGGAGGGGAAGCAGACCTCTAAGGACATTGTCTTTGCATCACCCAAGTCTCCGAATTTGGAGACTGTTGCCCTTTGGAGAATTTGATTCTCCAAGTCCTTCCATCGCCGGCCTGGGAAAGAGGCAGCGCTGAGGAGGTTAAGCTCTTTGGCTGGAAGGTGGGAAACACCAGGAGCGTCATTTCCCCTACAAAACACCAAGTGTAAGTGGAGTTTCCTTTGTGCTCAGATGTGCCAGGGGTAGGATTGTGGAAGTTCTCGGGGTTTGGGGGTTTTGTTGTTGTGTTTGTTTTGCGTTGTCTGCTCTGATTGACAGCTTCAGTCTGTCTCTAAGGGGCTGCTTGCTCAAACACTAGATATTAATGACATACATTCTGTTCTCTATTTTCAGTCCTAATCTACGAACCAGAAAATCCTGTGGCCAAGGAATTTTTCTCACTTCTTGAAGAAATATTGCTAAAGGGTAATTTTAAAATTTGAACTTTATTTTTTTCCTCATAGAACTGTAAACCACGTTTTAAAAAAAAACGTTACGAGAGATTGTGAAAATATTTCTTAAGGAAATGTTAAGGAATGTCTAAATCAGTGGTTTCCAGCTTTCCTAATGCTGTGACCCTTTAATACAGTTCCTCATGTTGTGGTGACCCCCACCCATGAAATCATATTCATTGCTATTTCATAATTGTAATTTTATTATAAATTGTAATGTAAATATCTGATATGTAACCCCCGTAAAAGGGTTGTTCAGCCTGTCTTTTTAAGGATCTCATTGCTGATAGTAGAAGTTATTTTGACAGATCTGTGTTTGAAGTTCATTTTGAACCCGCAAACATCTCCCTGCTAATCAACATAAATACATTGACAGTCTTGTTCTATTCTGATCCGACCCCAAATTAAGCTCAATTTTTATATTCCTCAAAATGCGTATTTTGTGGTAGAGGGAGTTGAGCTGTAAGGGTTTTGGGAGGGTGGGCGCACTGGGAAGCATCATGAGTGTCTCTCCTTCGTGCGGCAGAGAAAGCTCAGAAGCAGAAGGACGAGGAGGAGGACAGTGAAGAGGGCAGCAGCAGCGAGAGCGAGGCCGAGAGCAGCGAGGAAGGGAGTGAGGACAGCTCGGACGAGTGTGAAGACGGGTCCTGAGGGCGCTGCTGTGGAGAGTTATTTTCACGAGTGTATGCCATGCGGATGAAAATATAAAGGAGAGAGCTACTGTGCAGACTAACTGTGGTTTCTTCGGTACAGAGTTCCAGCGATCTGCACTCTTAGTTGGAGCTCCTCGCTCCGTGTTCAGGCTTAGACCAAGACACGTCACTTAGCAAGGGAAGGAGGGAGGAAATATGACATCCTGGGAGCATAGCGCACGCCCCACACTTATTTAATCTTACAACCCCAAGTAATATGTTACCATCCCCATTTTACAGGTGGGAAAAGTGAGGCACGGGGAGAGTAAATAGTTTCTCTAGTGAGAGTCACCTGTTTGTAGGGTCTGGATTTGCCTCTGTGACCTCATGGCTCCACAGCTGGGCTTTCAGTCCCCTTTCAATGACTGCCCCATCAAACTTTAACAAAGAAGTCATCTGTCCATGTCACAGATCTGGAGATCTCATCTCCTCTCTGGCAGAGAAACAACAGTGTGTGTGTGTGTGTGTGTGTGTGTGTGTGTGTGTGTGTGTGTCACAAAAGAGGCCATGATTTTAGGAGGGAACAAGGCAGGTGTGGTAGTTTGAATGTCACTGGACCCCATGATCTCATAGAGGGTGGCACTACTAGGAGGCGTGGCTTTGGTGGAGTGGGTGTGGCCTTGTTGGAAGAAGTGTGTCGCTGTGGGGGTGGGTTTTGAGGTTTCCTATGCTCAGGATACCTCCAAAGGTCTCAGTTGAATTCCTGCTGCCTGCAAGATGTAGGACTCTCAGCTGTTCCCCCAGCACCACCTCTGCCTGCATGCCGCCATGCTCCCTGCCACGGTGATAATGGACTGAACCTCTGAGATGTAATCAAACCACCCCAATTAGATTTGTTTTTCCTTCTTAAGAGTTGCCATGGGTCATTGTGTCTTTCCACAGCAATAGCAACCCTAACGAAGGCAGCAGAGCACATGGGGATTGTAGGGAGGAATGGGAAGAGGGAAAGTGAGTTGGTGATTATATTTTAATTTTAAAATTGTTCTAAATTTAAAATATATTTTACATTTTTTAATGGAGGTTGGAGAGAGGGCTTAGTAATTAAGAGTCATGGATGCTCTTCCAGAGGAACCAGGCTTAGTGCCCAGCACCCACACCTGAGCTTACAATTATAGCTTCAGACTCCTGTGATCTGTGCTGGCTACTCTGATGTCAACTTGACACAGCTATAGTCATCGAAAGGAATGAAACCTCAATTGGAAAGTTGCAATCTTAAGACTAAGCTGTAGGCAGACTTTTAGGGCATTTTTTTTCGTTAGTAGTGTGGGAGGGCCCTGGGCTTGTGGTCCCAGGTACTAGAGACTGAGCAAGCCAAAGCAAGCCAAGTAGCTGCATTTCTTGGTGGCCTCTGCATCAGCTCCTACCTCCAGCCGACTGTCTTCGATTATGGACTGTGATATGGACATGTAAGCAAAATAAACCCTTTCCTCTCCAAGTTGCCTTTGGTTATGGTGTTTCATCACAATAGTAACCTTGACAAATATGAGATCTGATTTCTTCAGACACCAGGCACCATGTGGTAGGTTCATATATGCATAGATGCATGTATGCGGGCAAAATACTAATAAAATAAATCTTTAAAAATTAAAAAAAAACTCACAGGGTATTAGCTGGCATTGCGGTACATACCCACAACCCCAGTTCTAAGGAGGTAAAGGCAGGAGGATGAGGAGTTTGAGGGCATGAGACCCTGTCAAAAAAATACGACATTTTGAAATGAACATAGCTAAGGAAGTAAAAGACCTCCACAATGAAAACTGAATAAATATACACACAGGCATGTATGTATACACACATATGCATATATACATCACACACTGACACCACACAAACATAAAAGTTAACTATGTGTGAACGTGCGTGCTTGCCAAAGTTTCGGTCTGTAGCCCAGTCTGGTCTTGAACTTACATTAATCCTCCTTCTCCTGAGTACTGGACTTAAAGGCAGGAGCCACCATACCCAGCTGAAATACGTATTTTAATTGCTAGCTCCCCTGGGCTCCTTACTGTGACCCCTTTAGCATTTCAGCTAATCTGTAACAAGGTTTTGGGCCTCAGGTCCCTCAGTACCTCTTTGTAATAAAAATTATTCTAAGCCAGCCAGGACTGCAAAGCCATAAACCACACAGGAACACAAATGGGGCTGGAGAGAGGGCTCAACTGGCTGCTCTTCCAGAAGCCCAGGTTCAGTTCCCAACACCCGCATGGTGGCTTATGACTGCCTGTAACTCCAGTTCCATGAGATCAAATGCCTACTTCTGACCTCTGCGGGCACCAGGCATGCATGTGGCACACATACATACATGTAGTCAAAACATTCATACAGATTAAAATAAACTTTTTAAAACTAAAATAAACACATACAACTCTATAAGATCTATCACTTGGAATATAAGGGCTGCTATTTCAGTCATGCTGATAGAGAAAGATTGACAGACAGAGAAACGGATCTCTAAACACCCTCCTCTAAACACTCACCCCTATTAGACTAACGCTAAGCAGTCCTGGGACTCTATTACCAATCAGCCGAGGGATCTTTTGCTCTGTTCCTCTTTTGCTCTGTTCTGATGGAAGCTACAAAGAGCAACTCTCCTTCCATGTCGTGTCTCTAAGCTGCTGGTGTTGGGATCTAGAATTCTTTGGCTCTGGGCTTGAAATGCCCAAGGCTCAATGCCACCCAGCGGCTGGTGTGACGTCTCTGTATTGGGCCCCGCTGTTCACAGTGCTGTGTAGCACCTTACAGCTAGTCTGGAACCCGGTCATGTAGACTTGGCTCCTCCCAGCGTTTCGTCATCTGCAGCTGCCACTCTCGCATCTTTTCAACAGTGCGCGATCCTTTTGTCATCTGCGGTCCTGACTTTTCCTGGTATCAGCCCTCCGCAGTCTCTGCTGTGGACCACTCTCTGGGGCTTTAGCTCCCGTCTGCTTCACTGTGCCTGGAGCTCTGCTGGGGGAGGGGGTGTCCGAGAGCTGTCTGTTCAGTCCTCCAGTTACCAGCGCCAACCTGGTAGTTTGAGGGTAATTAGCCCCCATAAGTTCAGAGGAAATGGTACTATTAGGAGGTGTGGCCTTGTTGGAGGACAGGTGCTGCAGTGGAGGCAGGTGTTGAGGTCTCCTAGGCTCGAGCTACATCCAGTGACACAGATCACTTCCTGCTGCCTGCACAGATCAAGATGTAGGACCCTCGGCTCCTTCTCCAGCACCATGTCTACAAGCATGCCACCATGTCACACCAGGATGGAGATGGACTAAACCTCTGGAAAATTATGCCAACCTAAATGTTTCCCCTTAAAAGAGTTGCCGTGGTCACCGTGTCTCTTCACAGCAATAGAAACTCTAGACTCTGGCCCTCCTGAGACAAAGACTATAGACTAAAGAATACGGGGTGGGGTGGGGCATGTAATGTTTTGGGATCTAGGCTACACAAGGTGAATAGTGTACTGGAATGAGGGCCCATTCCCTCCACCTGTAGTAATAAGAGCGGCAGGGCTGCGTCCCCAGCACCCCAGCTGCCTGGCTAGCTTATGCCCTGAAATAACAACACACAAATTGTATTCTTTTAATCACTGCTTGGCCCATTTCTATCTAGCCTCTTCTAGGCTAACTCTCGCACCTGGACTAGCCCATTTCTAATAATCTGCTGTAGCCCACGAGGTGGCTTACCAGGGAGATTCTAGCCTACGTCCATCCTGGGTCGGAGCTTCATCGCATGTGTCTGCCCAGGAGCCGGGAGCATGGTGTCTCTCTGAGGCGTCTGCTCCCGAGAGGAGAGCTATCGAGTCTCTGAGCTCACTTCCTCTTCCTCCCAGAATTCTGTTCTGTTTACTCCTCCCACCTATGTTTTAACCTATGAGGGCCAGCCAAGCAGTTTCTTTATTTAACCAATGACCTTCCTCCATCATCCATCCACCCACCCAGAGAAGGATGAGAAGAGAGCTATTTATCCCATCCAGTCTGGAGCAGAGATTCACAACCCACCCCCACCAGGTGTCGCGGGTGAATGAGGTGTCCCTCCCTGACCAAACTGATGACCTCACAGGGATGCCCCATTGTAACTGTGGGCAGCATGGCCTGAGGATCATCAGAAGTTGCTGTGCAAATGGAATCTTCTGGAGCCGTTTCAGGGTACCCGAAACTGCTGCAGCCGGAGCAGAGACCCCCCCCCCAACGTTTAGCAGCATCCATGAAGTCTTTGGTCTCTTGATTGTTTGCTGCTGCTTTGACAGCATCCCTCAGTCATTCAGAATCATCTGTGGGGCTAGGAGATGGGCATCTGTTTCTCTGCTCAGGCAGCCGTGGGGACATCACCACGATAATTTGGAGACTCTCCCTAGTGGCTCCTCCCCCTATGTAAAAACTGGCTGAGGCTGAGGTTGCGGTTCCCTGTCCTCCAAGGGCAGCCGCAACAAAATCCTTCACAACCCTGCTGGACTTGGGAACTAAGGAGTCAACAGGAGGTTCCATCCAACCCCCTTAGACGTGGCTTCTGCTCTAGCTGCCCTCTGATGGAGAGGGGTGGGACCAACAGCTCTTGATAGGCAGCCTCACTGCTCCTGCCTGGCAGCTTCCGCCACTGTGATTAGTTTTAAAATTACATACATGAATAGATTGTACTTTGATGAAATCAGCCTGCCCATTCTCTTCCCTCCAACTCCCCCAACACCCTCAAGAATCCATTTTTCTTCCTGTCCTCCTGGACCCTTTTAAATCAACTGAACCCATTTAATGCACCCACAGGTGCCTGGGTGTAGGGCCATCCACTGGAACATGGATTTACTCATTTTAAAATGCAAAAATGTTAAGATGTTTTGACAAAGATCTGTCATGAAATTAACATTTTCTTCCAGAAACTTCAATAACGATTAACCTCTAGCCGACACTCTCAGGGTGGCTTGAGTCCTCTTCCTGTCTTAACGGATACCCAAAGTTCCTGACTTCCACCTTGGCTCCCCTTAACCTTCTTGGTGTAATAGACTATAGCAATCTGCGATAGTCATAACACTGAGTCACCCCAAAACTCACGAGTTTGAAGACCAGTTGCATGCCAATGTTCAAACCATATCACATGGCAAACTCAGCACGGAGGGGAGGGCAGAGAGGTGAGCAATTCTGAAGTATCCTCCCACTCTGGGATTTGTCTATGGCTTGGTCCCTGGCTTTAGAGTTGAAATAAGTCTATAACTCCAGTAAAAAGATAATGATTCCCATTTAACCCTTACATTTGTGAGCTGTTAAAAATCAGTTCAGCCAGGTGGTGATGGCGCATGCTCTCAATCCCAGCACTCAGGAGGCAGAGGCAAGTGGATCTCTGTAGCCAGCCTGGTCTACAGAGTGAGTTCCAGGACAGCCAGGACTACACAAAGAAAGTCTGTCTTAAGAAAACAAATGTTTAAATGGATCTAAATTGATCACCTAGTCAAATAAAACAGGACCTTGGCCTCCCAACTGGAGCAATGATGGCTCTACCCTTACTACGTCAGGAAAACCTACAGTATGATTGCTGCAAACCCAATGAGCTGTTAAATATAATCACATAAAATGGACTGACAACTTTGGGAGCTGGAATGAAGCCTCCCCCATTAAGATTCCAGCTTTCTTCCCTGAGTACTGGTCAATGCCTGGGAAGGGGCCAGACCTGACCCTACAAGTTTAAACAACCAGAGTCTCCCTGACCAAATCAGAACATTCCAGGACCTTCTTACAAACTGTAGCAGCCACATGGAAATAGGGATTAAATGCCTGGTATTTTAAACCGAAAAAGAAATAAATAAAATATTAGTTAGCATCCTGACTCTTTCACTAATTCAGTTTTGCAATAAAATTTTCTGTCACACATCTGGATTCAGGTCAGTGCTTTTCAGTGCTTTACAGCGAAGTTGTCTCTCGCTTACAATCAAGGGATACCATGCTGCCATCAACGGAACACACGACCCTGGGTGTTTGAGGTACATCTGGGACATTTCTCGGCCTTTATAGAGATCCTGCTGTGTTAAAAAAAAAAATGGCAGAGACCTATATGACATGGAAACAGCCCATCAGGCTTCCTTGAAGACCAGCTAGCTGTGTTTCGGGCAGTTCGCCTCAGGAATTGTAATCTATCGCCCCCTGCTGGTCACTGTGTTGGCGCTCTGGGTGGCCAGGAATGGGCGTTTCTAGATTCACACAAATACAAATCACCCAGTGCTGCCTGCTTGCTCGATTTTTGCCTGAGGGAACAGCCATATGACAATTATCTGAAGACTCCGTCTCTCCACGAGAAATCATTGCGACTTCTAGAATCGCCCAGCTAGAGCTCTGCCTCCCCACTCCTCCGCCCCAAGCCACCTTTTTAACGCTTTCGCGGCCTGCCAGGAACCAGTGCAGTTTTCTCTTAGGATGGGGTGTGCGTTAGGGTCCTCTAAAGAAAGTCCAAAAAGACTCAGGGATGT